CTGTGTAACTCTTTCACATAAATAAAAAAAAATTAAAAAAAAAAAAAAAGCCATGGGTTTGTATACTTTAAGTCGGTGAATTGTATAACATGTTAATTTTATCTCAATAAAGCTGTTTTTTAAAAGAAAGGTTTACTTTTACATCCAAATTTTCATCAACTGATCAATGGAAAAACAAACTGTGGTATAGTTCTACATGGAATATTATCTAGCAATAAAAAGGGACAAAACACTAATTTGTGCAACAATCTGGATGAATCTCAGAAACACTATGCTGAGTGACAGCAGCTACACCCAGGAGAACCAGTGTGGCACAATGCCCTGATATAAAGTAGCTACGCAAAGGCAAATCCACTGCACAGACAAGACAGCTGGTGGCCTGGAGTTATAGGAACAGGACGCAACTGTAAATGGCACAGGGATCCGTTATGGAGGGAGAAAATGCTCTAAAATTCACCAATTTATGAACTCACTAAAAATCATAAATTGTATATTTGAAACTGATCATGTTATAGCATATGGTTTACATATACCTCAATTAGTTGCTTTTTTTTTTTTTAAGATTTATTTTACTTATTTGAAAGACAGAGTTATAAAAAGAGGTAGAGCCAGAGAGAAAGAGGTCTTCCATCCACTGGTTCACGCCCCAAATGACTGCAACAGCCAGAGCTGAGCTGATCCAAAGCCAGGAGCCAGGAGTTTCTTCCGGTTCTCCCACACGGGTGCAGGGGCCCAAGGACTTGGGCCATCTTCTACTGCTTTTCCAGGCCATAGCAGAGAGCTAGATCAGAAGTGGAGCAGCCGGGACTTGAACAGTGCACATATAGGATGACAGCACTGCAGGCAGTGGATTTAACCCACTGCACCACAGCGTGGGCCCCCTCGATTACTTAATTATGTGTGTTTTTGTTTTTGTTTTAGTTTTAGTTTTTTTGCAAAGCAGAGTGAACAGTGAGAGAGAGAGACAGAGAAAGGTCTTCCTTTTTCTGTTGGTTCACCCCTCAACGGCCACTGTGGCTGGCGCGCTGCGGCTGGCACACCACATTAATCTGAAGCCAGGAGCCAAGTGCCTCTCCTGGTCTCCCATGTGGGTGCAGGGCCCAAGTACTTGGGCCATCCTCCACTGCACTCCCGGGCCACAGCAGAGAGCTGGACTGGAAGAGGAGCAACCGGGACAGAACCGGTACCCCGACCAGGACTAGAACCCGGTGTGCCAGCACCGCAGGCAGAGGATTAGCCTATTGAGCCGCGGTGCCGGCCTCAATTAGTTAAATCTACAAAAAAATATTTACTCTAGGGGCCAGCACTGTGGCGTAGTGGGTAAAGCCACTGCCTGCAATGCTGGCATTCCATATGGGCGTCGGTTCGAGTCCTAGCTGCTCCTCTTCTGATCCAGCTCTCTGCTATGGCCTGGGAAAGCTGCAGAAGATGGCCCAAGTCCTTGGGCCCTTGTACCCACATAAGAGACCTAGAAGAAGCTCCAGGCTCCTGGCTATGGATTGGCCCAGTCTGGTTTGGCCATTGCAGCCATTTGTGGAGTGACCCAGTGGATGTAAGACCTCTTTCTCTGCCTCTGCCTCTCTGTAACTCTGCCTTTCAAATAAATAAAAATAATAAAACAACTATTAAAAATTTATTTATTTATTTTGAAAATCAGAGTTACAGAGAGGGAGGGAGAGGGGAAGAGAGAGTGAGATCCTCATTCTGTTAGTTCACTCCCCAGATGGCCAAAATGGCCAGCACTGACCAGGATGCAGGAGCATCCTTCAGGTCTCCCAAGTGGGTGGCAGGGGCCCAAACACTTGGGCCATCTTCTGCTTCCCAAGCCATTAGCAGGGAGCTGGATGAGAAGCAGAGAAGGCACACACCGGAACCCACATGGGATGCTGGCATTACTGGTAGCAGGTTTACCCCTGTGTCACAATGCCAGCCTTCCAGCTGCTCTACTTTCAAACCAGCGCCCTGCTAATGTGCCTAGGAAAGCAGTAGAAAATGGCCCAAGTGCTTGGGCTCCTGCCACCTCCGTGGGAGACCCAGGTGAAATTCCTGGGCCATTTGGGGAGTGATGAAATCTCTCTCTGTGTGTGTAATTCTGCCTTTCAAAAAAATACATAAATCTTTAAAAAAATTTTATTAAAAGATTCAATTTACTTATTTGAAAGATAGAGTTACAGGGAGAAGCAGAGACAGAGAGGGAGGGGTCTTCCATCTTCAGGTTCACTCCCCAGACGGCCTTTTTGGCCAGAGCTAAGCCAATCCGAAGCCAGGAGCCAGAAGCTTCCTCCAGGTCTCCCACAGAGGTGCAGGGGCCCAAGGACTTGGGTCATCCTCTGCTGCTTTCCCGGGCACATTAGCAGAGTGCTGGATTGGAAATGGAGCAGACGGGACTAAGCTAAGTATTGGCTGTACAAGTGTTTTACCCTTCATAATTTTTTTCAGTGTTCGAACTATTTCCTGAAAAACTAAATTTTAAAAATGTTCTTGGACTTTGAATTTGCTACAATAGAAAAGAAAGACAGAATATAAATTTTACTATTGAGCTAAGATTCAGATGTCACATAATTCACCCTTTTACACTTGATCTTAGCCAAAACGCTGAGAAGCGATATAACTCACTCTTAAAACTGTGCAATTCAGTGCTTTGTAGTGCAGTCACGAGACTGGGCTACCATCACCACTAATTCCAGAACATCCTTACCACCACAAAAAGAAGCCTGACACCCATCAGAACTCCCAGCTCCCCAGCCCAGGGCCCAGCCTCTGGCGACCACGAATCTACGTTGCTTCCTAGGAATTTGCCTATCTGGACATGTCAAGTCAATGGGATCACACAACACGTGGTCTTTTATGTCTGGCTTCCTTCACCTCTCCTAGCTTGTTAGTATTTACTGATGCTGTAGAGCGTACATACATGCTTCATTCCTTTTCAGTGTTGGAAACAGTCCACTGTATGGATATATTCTATCTGCTTATATCTTCAGTGGTTGATAGATATTCTGGTTATTTCCACATTCTGGTTGTTATGAATATGCTGTTACTAACATATATGTATGAGTTTTGCATATATGTGTTTTCATTTTCCCTTGAGTATACACTTGGAAATCATTGAGTCATATTACAACTCCATATTTCACTATTTGGGGGACTACCAATGCATCATTTTACAAAGAATATAACCCTGGGACCAGCGCTGTGGTGTAGAGGGAAAAGCCCCAACCTGCAGTGCCAGCATCCCATATGGGCGCCAGTTCAAGTCCCGGCTGCTCCACTTCTGATCCAGCTCTCTGCTATGGCCTAGAAAAGAAGTAGAAGGTGGTCCAAGGCCTTGGGGCCCTGCACCAGTGTAGGAGACATGGAATAAGCTCCTGGCTCCTGGCTTCGGATCGGTGCAGCTCTGGCCATTGCAGTCATCTGGGGAGTGAACTGGCAGATAGAAGACCTCTCTCTCTCTCTGCCTCTCTGTAACTCTGCCTATCTCATAAGTAACAAATAAATCTTTAAAGAAAAAAAAAAAGAATATAATTCTGAAAGCTGTCTACCAATGCAAATATTTTCAATAGTAAAATATTACCATAAATTATCAAGATAAACTTTAAAAAGAGCATTTATCCCAGCTCCAATTGGCCCTAACAAAAACAAATTCCATTTTTGTTCAGAAATATATATTCTGTATGTATATGATTACAGAGGCAGGGGCTGTGGTGGAGCAGGTTAAACAGGGCAGGACAGCCCAAGTACTTGGGTCCCTGCCAGCCAGGTGGGAGACCTGGAAGAAGCTCCTGGATCCTGGCTTCAACCTGGTCCAGCCCTGGCCATTGCAGCCACTTGGAAAGGGAACCAGCGAATGGAATCAATCTCTCTCTTTCCTTTTCTCTCTCTGGAACTCTTTCAAATAAATAGATAAATAAATAGATACACCTTTAACAAAGATTATAATATAGAGAACATACAAATCATACATATTTTTTCATTTTCATCTGCAGGATTCTCTTATTCAGACTTACTTCGTTATGCTAGTGATTACTATCAAACAGTATAAAGTAGGGGCTGGTATTATGGTACAGTGGATTAAGCCACTGCTTGTGATGACAGTACCAGTTCAAGTCCCTGCTGCTTCACTTTTGAGCCAGCTCCCTGTTAATGCACCTAGGAAAGCAGTGGATGATGGCCCAAGTACTTGAGCCCCTGACAGCCACATGGGAGACCCGGATGGAGCTCCAAGCTCCTGGCTTCAGTCTGGCGCAGTCTCTATCATTGTAGCCATTTAGGGAGTGAACCAGCAGATGGAAGAACTCTCTGTCTCCCCCTCTGTCTCTCTGTTACTCTGCCATTCAAATAAACAAATAAAACATTTTCTTTAAAATGTTATAAAGCATATTCACAATTAGCACAACTTTAGACAGCTGGAAATGCCTCTGCCAATTTCTTCAGAAGACACTTTCACTAGTGGGATGTGCCATCAGAGATCTAAACCATTTTAACAATCAAAGTAAATGATGAGGGACCAGTGCTGTGGCACAGCAGGTTAAAGCCCCACCTGCAGTGCCAGCATCCCATATGGGCGCCGGTTTGAATGCCAGCTGCTCTTCTTCTGATCACTCTCTGCTATGGCCTGGGAAAGCAGCAGAAGATGGCCCAAGTCCTTGGGCCCCTGCAACCACGTTGGGGATCCAGAAGAAACTCCTGGCTCCTGACTTCAGATCACTCAACTCTGGCCATTGTGGACATCTGGGGAGTGAATCAGTGGATGAAAGACCTCTCACTGTCTCTGTCTGTACCTCTCTCTGTAACTCTTTCAAATAAATAAAAATAAATCTTAAAAAGAAAAAAGTAAATTATGAAACTCAGTGTTTTTTTAGGTCTGTTCACTAAAAAAAGATTTTACAGCTTGGACCTTAAAATTAGTCATTCCAGTTCCTGAAACAGCAGCTGAAACACAAAATTATTTTAGACCAGATCCAAGTATTAGCTAAAAACATTAGTTAGGTTGAATTACTAACCTTAAACACATCTTCAACACATCTACTAAGTTCTTCTTCTGTTACCAAAACGGTCCCTGGCGTCACATCACTCTCCAGAATCTCTAAAGAACAAAAACGTCAGTTACAGACAGTCAACACCTCATCATAAAGGAGACATTAAGCCTGAAGAATATATTTTATGAGAGGATTTAGTCAGTCAGCTGAGACCAGACAATCCGCGTGACTACCACTGCACAATGTGGCCTCCCAGACAAGCCCCCAAGCAGATCAAGTCATCTGCTGCCTTCCCAGAGTGCACACTAGCAGGAAGCAGCGTAGCCAGGACTTGACCCGGGTGCTCCAGGATGGGATTGGGCATCCCAGGCGGCAGCTTGACCACTACCCCACACATTCACCCCCAAGAGGTTATTAACACATGAATTAGACAAAGGAACTACTAGACCCTATTGCTGGAACAATACTTTATTTATTGGAGAGTATGCTGATTCTATACTAGATTTACATCAAAACTATAAAGGAACTTTAATTATTTACTCAAATGTCACATATAATTTCCTTTTCCCCGAGTTCAGCTAAGCACAATTACTTTCTCCTTGTACACAACCCAGAAAAATCCACACGGTGAACGACTTCCATGAATTCTACCCAGAACAAATTTTTTTTTCAAAAATGTATGGATTTGGGGGCCGCTGCTGTGGCGTAGTGGGTAAAGTCACTGCCTGCATTGCCAGCACCCTATATGGGTGCCAGTTCAAGACCTGGCTACTCACTTCCAATCCAGTTCTCTGCTGTGGCCTGGGAAAGCAGAAGATGGCCCAAGGCCTTGGGACCCCACACCCGCCTGGGAGACCCAGAAGCTCCTGTCTCCTGGCTTCAGATCAGCACAGCTCTGGCCATTGCAGCCATTTGGGCAGTGAACCAGCAGATGGAAGAACCCTTTCTCTGTCTCTCCTTCTCTCTAACTTTGCCTTTCAAATAAATTAATTAAAAAAAAAACAAAACAACAAAAAAAAAAAAAACACGTGAAATTGAGGTAAGAATCATCAATGGATACGAAGCCACAGGATGAAGGGAACTCACAAGTGCTCCGTCCATCACCCACTGGCCACTTACTGGTCACCTTAACCACCGACAGGGGGAAGGTGTTGTTAGCCATGAAGAACTCTGGCTGCTACCACCTTAACTGGATGATGCAATTTCTCACCTGCTATCTCTAAGCTGGCAGTGTGTGCTCCTCCTACATAGCATTTCTAACAAAACGCCTAACCTGGATGGAAACAGGAGGAATCAAGCAGAGGAACATGCTAAAACCCAGGCTCTCCAAAAATGTCCTGGTGAAAAACAAACAAAACACCATGGAACTAGCCTATTTAAAAAAACAAAATTTAAGTTCATCTATTTGAGTGGCAGAAAAACAGACAAATAGATCCCCCATCTGCTGGTTCATTCCCCAAATGCCCACGGAGGCCTGGCCTGAGCTGAGCTAAAGCTGGGAGCTCGAAACTCAATCCAGGTTTCCCACGTGCGTGGCAGGAACCCAACTACTCAAGCCATCATCACTGCCTCTGACCCTCTGCACCAGCAGGGAGCCGGCATCAGGAGCGGAAGCCAGGTATGGAATCCAGGTACCCCGGTAGGCAACGCAGCTGTCTTAACCTGCATTAAAGGAGACTAACAAGACAGAACAAGTAGAGTTAGTGCATGGCTCTTGCTAGGACTCTAGAGTTCTTTATTGTTTTTTTTTTTTTTTTTGACAGGCAGGGTGGACAGTGAGAGA